AAAATATGTTAAAAATTAATATAATTGTATATATTTTACTATTTAATACCAAAAACAATGTATAAAAAGTAATTTAATAGCAATTTTTATAATTAATATATTTTAACAATATTTTTAAGAATATTATTTTTCTTTATCTCTTTATTATACCAATTGTCTTATCACACTTTTCTGTTATCTTCATATTAATTTTTATCATACAAAAATTATCCTAGAATAATTTCATTTTGTCGTCACACATTTATATAACCGCAGTACTAGTGAACAGAACAAATAATGTCTAAAGCATATCGTCCATTTATAATCATTTTGTCCATTTTTAAGAACATTACTTCATTATCTTAAAAAAAAAAAATTACTTCAAAATTTATATTGTCCTTCTTCTTGGATGTGCCATATGCGTCAATCATCACAGCAATTTTTAACGTACAAGCACAATTGGTTTCTCATTATATTAAAATTAGTCCTAATTAGATATAATTTATCAAAAGTAATAAAATTATTATTTAGCAAGTGTAAAGTTACCTGAATCGTTATAGAATTATAATTATCTTTAAATATATTTGTATATATTTGTTTTATTGCTTAAGAGAGAAACTATATTTGTATATAATTTTATAAAAATTATACAAGAAAAAAGCATTGGCCAAACAATGTCGAAAACACGTGCAGAAACATTTTGCAGAAGTTGCGCACGATGGGATAGAATTTAAAGTACTAAACTTTCTCCCGAATCTCCATCTCTTGGTTTTATGTAACATTATTTCAGTATTTATTCCATTTCCTTTGAAGAGTGACGTAAAATTAAATTGAGCTCGAATGTATATATAACCATGCGTACGTCATGCATGTATATATTATTTTTAATTGAGAATATTTATGCAGTACTTCAAAGTTCACAATTAAAAAATAATTTATAATTAAAAAATAATTTATATTTGTAAGATGTAATTTTTGCTAATTACAGAATGATCAATCTCATGTTCTAAAACAGATCTTTTATAAATAAAAAATTGTTAGGAGTGATAAAATTTATATATATATATATATATATTTTTTTTTTTTTTTTTTAATTTTTTGTAAATTTTTTTAATAGTATAGAACCCGATTCCCTAATTTTATGAACCCCTGTTCTTCTCCGCCGTTGCCGTTACAGAAAATCGGGTCTCCG